GAAAACACCAACGCCAATATATAGACCAGTCAGAATTGAGTGATAGCTGATTTTTTCGCGATAATACAAGTTGCGATTGGTCAGATTACCTATGTGAGAATTTTAAGATGGGTGAAATAGCCCATATCACTCTCACTCTTGTTATACACATGTAACTGTCGTGCTATTCATCATTCAAATCCATTTCATCATCATTTGAGTTTGTTTTCTCTCTGAGGGTTATCGTCATGTATGAGTTATCCCTTCCTGTGTTCTTTTAGAACTATCTTTATATTTCCATTTTTGTCTTGATACATTATAGACCAGGAGATGGTGATAGGTGGCGTTCTCTCATTTTACACAACATGCCTTTTAAGGCATGATTAACCCCAAAATATGAACAGACTGGTTTCTTTGGCAGGCAATCCCTCGCCTGACCAACGGTTGAAAATTTCGGGAAAACTCTGTAAAAATTTTATACAGCTTTTCCGTGATTCCAAACTGCATGCCATTAGAAAGATACCCCATTTATATAATTAATTATTAGTAGGTAATTTGGCATGCATACCAGGATTTTGCAAAATAGAGACATGCACGACGAGAGTTGCAAAATCACCCATTTTTTAAAAATGGTTAGAGATATCAAAGTGTGGTTTTCACCAATCGATGTTTAAAAAAAAAACAAGCTCTAGATCCCTCGGTCAGTTCTCTACCTGTTCTCGAAACGGAAAAAAATGCCAAAATTAAGCAAGTTGGGACATCCTGTATATAGTTTTCTGGTTCCCCCATAATATTATTAACCATTTCATTGAGCATGCTCATTTGATGAAATCAGTAAACCTTCATTATTTGGAAATTCGGGAAGCATTGGGAAGCTTTCATTCTAGCATAGGGTGGCTGGACTAAAACTGAATTTTTCTTCTCCTTTCTGTTCCACTAATTGGTTTGTGCTCCACATTGTTAGAAACTCATTCCATTCAATAAAAGCCCTCATTATCATATATCGATAAGAATTAGCATTATTAAGGTAGAAAACCCATAAGCAAAGGTATAATGTACACCTTACCAGATGTGAACCCTAATTAACCTTAATTAAATAACCATCTAGTTATTATTCGGGGAAACGTCATCAGCAAATACTTAATTCAGGTTTGAATTTCAATATAGGTCCGAGGTAGAGTCTCAGTCTTCCTTAGTCACTCGATATAGCTGTAGCTACATTTCCAGAAGAGAAAGAGTTCAATTTCTGTAATTTCTTGCCAATAATAATAATTACGAAACAGGTGAATTTCGACCTATTAGTGTAACGCGTGTTGATGGAATGAAATACCTTCCTTAGAAATTAATGGTTTCAGTTCGTAAGCAGTGCAGTCCTGCTATTACTTCGTCCAGAAGATTCCAGTTCAAGAAATTAGTGACACGTATTTTCTAAAGAGTTGAGGTACGATTTTTTTAAACTTTTAATACCACTCAAATGATTACTTTGAGGTTATTTATGAAATCTCAAAAGGTTTCAATTTCCTCTGATAGTAATTAAATTGAAAGGTCTGATCAATTTCCAGTTATTTCTTAAAGGATGTTCTTCAGGTAAATAGCTTCTTATGACGCTACTGAGGTTGCCATACTCGTCTTCGGTGCTAGATGAATCAACAATTTTTTGTTTCTTGCTTGCCAACGATATTGCAGATCCAGAAAGTTTGAATACAAAATTTCGTATACGATTTCCTATCACAAGAATAATTTGCTCAGTCAGCATCAACAAAGCCCTCTAGGTTTGCTCTACCGTTGACAAGTTCTCTATGAGGTTCCATCAAAAATTCCCACCGGTTTCATTGGGTGAGAGTTCCATGAAACTTGCCAACCAATCCCTACTCCTTAGGTGAACATTGCAATCTCTGGAACTCGCGGGGTGCTCTCCACCACAGTTTGCGCGATTCGCGGGTTGTTCTTTCTTTAGGCCACACTGTGGTTGGCGCCGAATGTTGCGCACCTGAGGGTTTGATCATGTCCGAAACGTTGGCATCTGCAGCATTGTGTTGGTCTGCTCTTCTTGTTTTGTTTTTCCACCCTAACTTCTAATTAATAACATCCCGTTATGTCGTATATATTGTTTTCGTTTTTGGGTAGTTGAACGAGGAACATTGGTAGTGTTTTCTTTGGTCTACGAGATGTCATTTGACTTACAAGTTTAGGGTGAAATCCTCTTCTTGCTAGATCTTGTTTTATTTCATGGGGGTCTTTGTTTTCGGGTATACCCTTAATTACTACGTGCAATAATTTATCTTCCGGTAGCATATATGTGTGATATTCTACTTTACGTTCATCGAATAGTTTAATTAACGCTCGATAGTCCTCCTGGGTGTCCGGTTTTATTGTTACCCCGTCAGTGATCGCGTGCGCGATACCGATCTTTTTGTTTAACTCTTATCTGCTGACTTGTCCCCGTATTTCCGTATTTCTAAGCACTATGGAGGGAGGGGAATTAGTTTTGACATTATCTTTATTCATTTGTTTTGCGTCATGATTAGTGGCACCAGAGTTTACTGGTGTTTTTGCTCCACTTGTTGATGCATTTAACTTGACCATCTTATTATTTTTTTCGGGTTTTTACCTCCTCCTGTTCGCGTTTTTAGTTTAGGAGGAGGATGCCAACTCCCAGTCTCAGTTGACCTCATTTGTCTCGTTTGGGTTAGTATTCTCGTTTTGATTTACTATTTCCTCTGCCTTCATGTGCGTTTCTCATTGTTCGGCTCCTTGTTGGGTTAATTTAGTAATGTTTATATTCGCTGCGCAAATTTCCTCTAATAATTTTTCGTTTTGTGTCTTTAATACTACAGCTTTCTCGGCATATAATCTGCTTTGGAGAGCTTTTTGTTTTCTTTTATCAGTCTTTTTTGCTTTTCGTCTGTCTGATTCCCGCGGTGAACGGGGACGTTCCGAATCAGATACCACTTTTATTTGATTTAGCAACGAATTACCGGCACACTGCATGATTATCAGTAAGGTTGTGATAAAAAATGTAATTATTTTACTATCAGTATGGGTAATTTGCTTTATTAGGTGAGATTATATTCAACTTTTCAAGTGCAGGGGTACCTGCGTCGCTCAGATTGAGTATAATTCCTATCAAATAACTATTGCAATGGTTACTTACCGTCGTTTTTTCGTTATTGAATTCTCTGAGACTATTCACTACTAGAACGCTCACTGTTGTCTTTGGGCAGGGAGGCTTTGGTTTTTCGCGCGCGACATTTCGCGTGTCGGGAACACTACTTTTCCGATGGACTATTGTCCTTTATTACGATTTGAGTTTGTCATGTACCGACTTTTCGCGTAATCACTACTGAGACGATACACTATTGTCTTTGATTCACAGTGTATTCACTACTCAGGTTGATATGGGTTCAGGCAATATAGGGAATGTGATGGTGTTGTACACATACTCTGGTGTGAGAATAGTTGATACTAAATTCACAGCATAGTGTTTAATGTATATACAAGAACAGCTGAGAAAACAGTATATGGACTTACCCCTATCTGGTGAAATACACTTACACTTATAAACTTTCACAAAGTGGAGACGATACTTTCGCACATCCGTGCTTGTCAAGCACACAAGTCGCTCCTGATGTGGATCCAAGTTCCAAATCATAACTCTAAGTATGCTTGAAATATCTTGGAAAAAGTTGTGCTTGCTTCCAATGGCTTTCGTCATAACAATTATTGAATTGGCCCGAATAGCTTACCAAAAAAAGCGATATCAGGGGTAGTCAACACTGCAAGATACATCGAACTACCTACAAGGTTCTGATATAGTATATTGTACAACAAAACTAGTGCGGAAAATGAGTGTGACTCGTGCGACAATATGATAAACCACGAGCCGTGGGCGAGTGGTCTGAAAAATATACACGTTTTTCTTGATTATCTTTCTCTAAATTCCTATTGAAAACTTTAAGTTCCTCAAATAAGTATCTGAATTAATCTACTAGGCTCACCTGTTATCATGAGAAATGAGGAATAGTTTAAAACTAATTACTTATGACTAATTAGGTTCTACTTTGATAGATTCTTATTACTTTGATATCCAGTCTGTGTAGGTAGATATGAATCACAAGTCTTCATGTGATAGCTCACTGAATTGCTGTACATGATCACTATACCAACTCCAGGCTTCTTGTGATTTCTCTTCTGATCTTATTTTCTAATGATTTCTGCCAAAAAGTAGTGATGCCGCCGAGACGAGAGAGGGATTTTTCTCTCGAATTTTGAGCCGAGACGAGACGAGAGAAAAGTCCACGAGAGACGAGACGAGAGAAAATACCTCGAGAGAAACGAGAGAGACGAGAGAAAACGAGAGAAGATGAAAACAAAAATAATTAATTTTATAGAGGATTACATATTGCTCATAATACGTTACAATAAATAACATTATCTCTGCAATCCCTAAACTAATGTAAGAAAGAAACAAAATAAAACGAAATTCCTAATGTTCTGGAATATTAAACAAATATAATATCATAGAAACATTCAACATATTATACAATATAAAATATTTTCTGTTTTCGTGAAATTTATACAAACACCCTGAAGTTGGAAAGTAGTCATGATACATGATGATTAATAACTTCCGAAATTATTCATAATTTTTTTCTTTTTTCTTTTATAACATTTGCCAATGAACACGTGAACCAAGAGTTCAAACAAACTTCTCGCTGACTCCGCATTCAAGCGATTCCTATGTTTCCGGATAGTAAGTCGAGCTTTAGAAAAAAGTCTTTCGGCTGGAACACTCGTAGTTGGAATGGCTAGTAGGTCTCTGGCCATATTTCCTAAATGTTCATATGAACTCTGATTTGATTTCCACCATTCTAATAAATTAGTATTTTGATCTGCTCGTGATGCAGTCGTATATCTGTCAATTTCCAATCTCATAGGATCTTTCGATATTTGTTCTTTGTCACTAATTTGATAAAATGCGTTCAAATCAAATTCGTCACTGGAGCGAATTTCTTATGCAACTACATGAACGTTTGGTTCAATACTAGAAACTCAAATTCTTCTGCCTTCCAAGGATTCCGGGCATCCTCCTTCCATATGTTGGAGCTTATGCAGTTCTGAATTCTCTCTGACAATCCAGGTAGCACTCTCAAGGCAGGCCATACTCTCTTCTCTTTGTAATATTGCCTACAGAAGGTCAATTTGAACATATTGGCTATCTGGGCACCCATGTGACCAACACCTGGCTTACTAACAGCACCTTTCCCAATCCATGTCTTGACACTCTCAGTCATGTTGATGATGGGATGACCGAAACATTTTCCTAACCCGCTCATTTCAAGTCTTAAATGAGCATGCTCTAAATTTTGCACCTTAGATGTTAAATGCAAAAACAGTTGTGTCTTCCTAATTGGCCTAAAATCAGCTCGCAGGCTTATGTAAAATCGAGGATCATGTTCTAAATCTCTTAAGATTGATGATATAACAAGAGAAGGCCAAGCTTTTAAAACGATGCGCATATAATAATATGTCAAACCAAGAGTTTATCATATCTCTTACCCCTGCCAAGTGAGCATGGGTCGTGATTATCATTTCTCGGTTATTCAGATGCACGAGATGCAAATTTCCAAAAGCTTGCCCCTTGACTTTCCCTAATTTCCATTCTTGTGAGAATTTCTCTGAATGAGTGATTTCCTCAAACAACCTGTCAAACGAACATTTGGCCGAGTATATCTTGTATAAAAGGTCCGAGCACTCTATTTTGTGGGTCATCAAAATATTGTGGCCTTCAGGGCACAATTGATTATTCTGTTCAATTTCTCTGTGGTGCCTCTTATAACAAGAAGGTTTGTGTTGTTCATTATCCAAGAATACAAATGCCGAGGATGACAAATGCTGGAGTTTAGTCTCTTTATCACAGATACTAGGTCCCTGTGTTCTTGCTTGATAGCTCTTGGGTTGTCTTGGTATGTCAAAACATACTCTATCTCACTCATTACTAAAGCTGAAGAAAGATGTTTGTCCTTCCGAAAGATGACGTTTCTGGTTCTGTTTCTTTCGAGTCCTATTTCTTCGGGGTCTGGTTCTGCTCTGTATAGGTGGTCCTGCATTTTGATTTTGTTAGTTGGTTTTTCTTATTGTCTATCCTAGAGTCACCATCCATGAGGCTATATTCTCGTATCCCCACGAGTCATGATATATAACATCTCTTAATATCATGTTTCCGTTTAGTACTTGTTGCAGAAAAGATCGAGTCTTTCCTACAATGGCCGCATCCTCTTGTGGTCGCGGAAGTGGAGAGTTCTTATGAGGTCTAAGTAAGAACAACCAAGATCCTCCTTTGCTTCCCACATATGTAAAATGATAAATTTTGGCATATTCTCCCAGAAGTTGAGAAATTTCAGCCAGCGCTTCAGCGGCAGAGTTTGAGTTGTCGGAGGACGGTGTTCTCGTGGGCTTCTCCATATTGTTTGGTTGATTTTTCTTAAAAATTCGGGCAAAGATGCTCCTCTCAGTAGTCTAAATAATTTTTCAATCTACCCTTCCAGGTTTTCTTGTTCCTACGATATTCTTCATATGTCAAAGGGGCAGGATCCTGCATGTTTTCTAGGGTTTTTCCAAAAATAACCTTCCAGACCTGTCTCACCTTAATTATAAAGAAGATAAATCCTCCTAATTGTCCAATCAACTTGAGAAATGCCAATGCTATTCCCCAATACCCAGCCCACCACAGGCTCAGTCCTATTTGATCCCAGATCAGGTTTTCTTGAGAAGTAGGAGTTTTCCTTTCTACATGATCTTGGATTTTCATCATCTCGGTTCGCAATTTTGAGTAGATAGCTTCTGTGGTGTCCACTCTCTGGAAATCACTCTCATTGGCAAACCACTTGTTCCTCCACTCCGGTAAATATAAGGTAGTGTTCCCTGCCGGTATTCGGCTTGCGGAATCAGTTGGATAGGTCTCCAAGTGTTTTCCTGTCCACCGGTGTAATTTCCCTTCTGAAGAATACCAGATATCGTGATTGTCACATATAACCTCCATACTCTGACTACCTATATCTCCGGTTTCTGGGTCCATATATCCCTCTTCCCAGTTGGTTTGTACCTTATAGAGAACAGGTATCTGCGAATAACAGCCGCTCTTGTTGGTGTTGATAAGCCATTCCTTTACTTTGTTACACGGCCACACTAATACAAATTCTCCCACCTCTTTTACTGTTATATACGGGTCAGCCAATCGTTTTCGATAATAATACTGAACTCCATTTCCAATTTTAGGACCACCGTCCAAATACTTGTGATTTAGACATAATTCTTGAATTTGTTGCAATGGATGAGAAAGCTTAGCGGTCATGTACTGTAGCTTTGAAAGTAGATCGGATCGTGTGGTATTCAAGAGTTGCTCAAATTCGTGTGATAATGATCGTTTATTTCTAGTTTTATCTATTCTGTATCTGATCTTGTATCCTTCTTCCGTGTATATATATCGACTCCACTCTCTTCCCGACGGGAGTTTTCCTGGTTTGTTCAGAAGGAATGCTCCTTGTTGTTCCTCCATTACTAGAACTGAATCTACTAAGTTGCCTTTTGTGTAAGCAGGGTCTGTCCACTCAGAAACTCAGAGAACAATTTTAGAACATCTTTTTCAGGCTGACTTTCTAAGGTTACATAATTAGCTCTGAATATGTTCTCGAATTTTTTAATGGAATTTTCCTTCATTTCCCTACCCCAAGCAGTACGAGAAAACATATCTACTTTATGCCGTGGATCCAGTATCAAAACAGCGCAATACGTCCAGTTCGTCTTATAATAATGTTTGAGCATTTTATCCCTACCAGTCTTGAATGCTAATATAATTTTTTCGTCCATGTGTGTCCTTTCTTCTTTACAATCGAGTTCAATTATCAGTTTCTCTATTTTATCGATTAATATGTTGAACCCAACTATAACTAATGGTAAAGTTGGATATTTTTCTCCACATAATAGAGTTGATAATGACTTGAAGGGTTTCAGATATTTTTGAATTACATCCAATAGTTCCCATTCATGCCCTTTTATTTTATTTTCCTTTAATTTATCATTATGATCACATAAGGAATTCAGAGCATCCTTCAATTTGATTCCCAAAGAAATCATATCATATGTTGAATTCCACCTAGTTGATACATCTACAGTCACTGCTAAATATTTCATATTCAGAAGATCACACACGCTTCTCAAGCTGTTTTGAAGCTGTTCAGATCTTTCAATTTTTTTCAAAATTCTCCTCAAACGAAGCACTGGAAAATCGTCCTCATCAGCCTCGTCTTCAGTATCGCTACTGTCATCAATAATGTCATTCTCGTCTGCAGATATTTTTAAGAATTTCAATATATCTTGAACGCCCAAGTTGATTACGTGAGCAAAGCATCTGAAATGTTGGTCTTCTGGATCAAACTGCAGATCAGGATGGTTTTGTATAATCATATCTCCAAACTCTCGCAGGAAACTGGTATTAGCTGATGCGTTATCAACAGTTATTCCTTGTATTTTATGTAAAATTTTATATTGGCTCATGCAATCAAAAAATAATGTTGCAATCTCTTTACCAGAGTGTCGCCCCTTAGATGGAATGAAATCAATCACAAGTGAATGTAATTGCCAATGAGCTGTTATTCCATAATATGATTTATTACTTATCGATGTCCAACCATCTATTGTGAAGGAAATTTTCGAGGTATTTTCTTCTAGAATCTTCAAGACGATTTTTTGAACACTCTCGAATCGATGAAGTACTTTTTCTCGTAGAGCAGTTCATTTGGGTACTTGCAATGAAGAATTCACGAAAGAAAATAAATCTTGTGTTGGCTGATCATCAAAAAAATTAAATGGTAGGTACTTAATTGCTACCCACTTTGCAATCTGAGAGTCTGCATTGTACTTTTTCTGTAAAGAAGAAAACTATATATTATTCACAAAAATTGTTAATGAATATATACAGGGTGATTCACGAGGTACTGTACATACTTATGGTGTACACAGGACATACCTCTGCCATAAAAAAATTATTTAAATTGGCCAATTCGACTTAATTACTATCATACAGGTACAGGGCCATTTTAATTTTTCAGCCAGAATTGATTGGCCCTATATCTTTCTAGTCGTTTGATCAACTTTTCTCAAATTTTATATACTCAGTCCACTAATCGAAGTTGATTTTCTGAAATACAAAAAGTGGCAGAACACCCTGTACATCGGAATTTTTGCTCTCTACTTATTATTCCTGAAACTTCATGGATTAATGAACAAAAAAATGTCAATTACTCTTTTGGCACATTCAAAGTACTTTTGAAATAAAATATTGCTTTTCGAGAAAACAATCAATTTGATTAGTCTTCTTGAAATTAGAAAAAATAAATAAATTTTCAAAATGCATTCTAGCAGCCTGTATGCATTTTTGTTCTCGTTCAAATACATTTCGAATTGAAATTTAAATCATTACTGGATTACATAACATTTAACATATCTGTTTTTCTATCAGGCTCAGCATCTTGATATCGGACATTATTTACAGATGAAGCAGTTTACACAAGACGGTATTATCAATTCAAGAAATTCTCATGTGTGGCAAAAATTAAAATCCGCACACAGTGAGACGAGCCCATTCCCAAAATAAATTTTCGATTATTATTTGGCGTGCTTTGATTAATAATTCGTTGATTGGAACTTACGTATTTTCTCAAAGGTTAACGGGCGTTGTTTATTTGAATTTTCTCCGAAATATCTTGCCTGGTTTGCTAGTGAACATTAATTCGAGAGGAATACATTTTCAGCATGATAGTGCTCCGCCCCATTTTGGCGTTGAAGTTAGCTAGGTTCCCAGATTTAAACCATCTCGATTATTTTGGCAAAAAGCAACACACAAATGCCACAATTTCTATGATTTCGGCATCCAAGAATCCATTATATTCACCTGCGCAGCTGCTTCAGCTGACACTCCACCACTGTTTCCTGCTTGGTTAACGATGACTTCTTCTTTGGATTGCGTAGATCCCATTTTGGATGATGTTACACTGCACTAGTCTCAAGTTCTTCAGCCTGTACATGCTATTATATTGTGCATAGTAGGACTGGCAGGATCGCCATGTGATGAACTCAGTTATCCTATTTTATTATAAGTCGAAAGGATGAGGAATAAAACATCTCGAAGTTGATTGATTTCGTCTATTCGTTTCAGTTAGATGTTAACAGAAGCGAAGGCAAGAATCGAATTCCTTCACATTGTGTCCCAAAAATCAAGAATGATGTTCTTGTCTTGAACTCATCAAATACAGAACAAATTGTTGCACTTACAACCCCAGAAATGTCTGAAACTGATTGATTCATACCAATTATTGGTATTTTGAAATATTGGCATGGAAGTTTCAATATTTCATTCCATCTTTTTGGAATAAAATTCGGTTGTGACTCCGAGTACAATAAAGACCTACATTTATGTTTGTTACCAAAGTGATCCAATATGAAAACTAGTGCTGTTGACCGAAGTATTTTCCTAGATAATTCTTACCTAGTTATTGTATTTGCTGCTCTAGCATTCACCTTGTTGGAAGCTATATTCGAGCTGCTAGCGCCCTCTGTGATACTTACTTGTTCCGAATTGAATGTACTATGATTCGTATGTGAAAGTTGATCCCGAATAACCCGAGTTTGTTCTGTTGTACCCTCATGCAATAATGAATTATGTTGTAAAAATTGTCCACATTGATACATAAAATGTTGATTCTTGCAAACTGTATAAGGTTCTCTTGTTGTTATGACCTCGATACTGATTTAAACCCCCTGTATTTATTTGACTTATCAAAGCGATTTTCAGTTTGCACCTTATTGTTTGACGCCTCTAACAACGATGTGTCATAAAGGACCCCGCACTTTTTCTATATAAAAATGGCGTTCCGTCGAATTTCCCCAATTTTTGGTAAATGATAGTACTCGACATACTGATTGAATATGCCAAGTCCCAACTCAATCCTATGACTAGTTTACGAGATACAGGGTGTTGAAGTTGAAGAATACCTAATTTTTCTCGGCCTATATCTCTAAGATAGGACAAATGAATTCCAATTTTTCGGGAGCACGTAATAGTTATGCCCTTAGGCGCAAGAACTATATAGGTATTCGACCAAAACTGATTTTTATTACAGGGTGATTCTCATTTCAAATAATGTGTTTTTTTGAATATCTGAATATCAATGCTACAAATTGATAACAATTACAAAATGAGATTTATAGCCAAGTATGCTCTTCTTACATCAATTGAATTCGTAAAATATAATAATTATACATGGTGTTTCATTAATGCTGTTGATTGCATAATTGGTCTATCCTAAAGTTCATTGGGCCACCTCGTATTATCGGGTTGATTCCAGACATTCAAAATATTTTTGAAGGATGTATCCCAATGAGTTCCATGATATACAGAGTGATTCATCGATTGAAAAAATTGACAACCACGAAAAAATATTCAAAAACCACTATTTTTTTCATCACCCTCTAATTCGAAATTATTACCGTCGATGTAAGATTTTTTTCCACCAATATACTCAGTATGGATATTTCAATCAAATTGGGAATTTTCAGACCCATGCTATGACTAGTTTTTTTTATACATCGAATAATGTGAAAATAATTATGGAAAAGTAATTACATAATAACACGAAAAATTGCTCCGAATCGCAAAACTAGTAGTCACTAGTCAACTATGTCAAAAAATGTGATTTGTTCGTAAACAAAATCTAGTGGTCTTATTATAGGTCCGCTAGCAAAACATCTCGAAAATGTTTTTCAGAAAACATCAAACAAATCACAATATGCCCCCGAAAAAATCTCATCAACGACACAACTCATCAACGATCCCACTCATATAAACGTGCTAAAACTCATGAGCGTTCCAAGTCGACAGCGGTTTTTCCCAACTCAATCCTATGACTATACTTTTCGAAAAAAATATGAAACTAAACTTCCGCAAACGCCTAGTGAGAGGTGCGCGTTAATATATTTTGCAACTCTCCTTTATCCAACCAACTTCCAATCTTTTGATCATACTGTATATTGTTAGAATCGAAGTTAGTATATGCACATCGCAAAGACACTAAAGTTGGAGTTTTGGTTATGTAGATATTCGTTACCGGGTTCAGTATAGGCCTGAAAGAAAAATGTCAATTAAGAATTTCAATCACAGATTTTGAAAAAATAGACAAACCAACTCGTTTCCCCACCACCTGAGAGGTAGAGTTTCAGGCGCGTTTTTTTTATTGTGGTATCCCCTGTAGGCCTAGTCCACGTTAGAAAGTGAAAGTTCCAATACCTATAATATGATTGTGTGTAGGCAGGATTGGCGCAGTGGACGAGCACCCGAGTCAGGACTGCGGGGTCGTGGGTTCGATTCCCAGACAGCGCAAGGAATTTTTCGAATATTAATATACGAATTAAATATTGTGAAGTTTCGGAGCATCGGCTGGGGATAGTCCTGCACGATTCACTGTTGCGTGCCTACATACAATATAGATACATGTTCAGAACACTATGGGCTAAAGGACCTCATTAGGGATCGATGGTTGGTTGGTATGTACATACCTACCAACGAAGGACATATACTACTACTACTACTATAATTATGTTTCACAAGGAACACAGAAATCAACTAATCGCCAGATTCAAATCAGTTCCGGACCGATGTTCATATTTTCAGGATTCAATCGATTTGCAGCATCGTCGATACAATTCAAAAGGCGATCAGATGGAAAGGTAATATTTCCTTGGTTTCTTGCGTATCCAAGGAACCATACCACACTGGCTACGTGTGCACACGTCCCTAATGTTCTAGCACCGGACCTACAAGTACAGTAGTACCCTAAAATGGGCGGATCTTGTAAATTATTATCATCGATTTCTCTGAATACTAACCACAGCATATGTTTAGTGGCATTTCTGAACCGAGAAAATACTCGAAATCTTAAAAAATTGGGTTCCTCAATGAGTTCGTCAATATCGAGTGTATTTTGTTCCCCTCCATCTCTTTGTATCGTGTCTTGTATGTAGGAGGCAGCTAAGTGAATGTGATATGACCCTGTGAGTGTTTTCAAATATTCTAAGTCAAGTCGAGGAAACGTCGGTACATGTCTATGGTTCAAACGAAACCATCGACCATTTCTTGTACGGAGGTTTTCAGCCTCAACTCGGGCCTGAACAATGTTGACTTCTTCGATATCATGCAACATTTGTGTAGCTAATTCCAATGTGCCCGGCATCCTTATTGGAGGATGGTATTTGTTTATTAGGGCGCCAGCAATCAAATAGAATTCGCGTAATTTTGCAACATGTGTTATTGATATCGCTCCTCGGAAAAATTTGAAAATCGATTTGAAATGCCCA